GTGATATTGAAGCCATCAAGAATGATAAATGTATTTTAAACCCATTCAAGTTTAATGTCTTTTTAGCTGCTCTTTTTGCAGACAGAACATTAGATGATCACAACAGCAGATACAGCAATGTGTGTGCCTTTAGAATTGTCAATGTTCCCACTTCAAATAAGGGAAAGCCTCAATATCTCATGTTTCTCATTATTTTGTGGATTAAAGACTGAGGAACGTGGTTTAATTTGGCAGCTTTATTTTAATGACTATACTGCACAAAATGCACAGCTGTCAATACTCTTCCCCACTGATCTCCAAGTTAATAATAATTTCAGATTATTTTTTTGGTTTGCACATCATGTTTCAAAGATAACTGAACTAGAGAAGTGATTTTTAAACATAATCCTGAGTGGTTAAACTGTGCCCAGGTTTCCATGACCTTCAAAGGCATTAGAAGGCTCCTGTGCAAGATAAAAGAATTCCAAAAACATTGTTCTATAGCAGGGATAGACTACCAGTGGGCCTAGAAGCTGTATTAGAATTACAAGTGTCATCATATCCATAACCTATCCTGAGTAATGGCTCTCCTTCATACCCAGGAAAACTATTATTGAGCACACTCTTCTTTTCCCTTCTACCCACCATATGGTTACTGATGCAAACCTAAAATCAGTGAAATGAGACAGTGCTTAAATTCTTTATATTCATATCATGAACGCTCTCATTTAGCTCTGAGGTATGAGCATGTGAGTTAGACTTCATTCAATCAATATGAATGTATTTAACCCTACAATTTACTGATATACCACTTCTAGATACCAGTAGTCCAGCATGTAATAACAGAATTTATAGTTCTCGGTTATAAAACATAATGCATACAACATAATGAAGAAACCATCAATTGACATAAATTGGAGGCCACACTCAATCACTGCAAGATGATGTTCCAGTATTCATAGTATAACACAATGGGCAAAATCCAGCATGTACTGGATGGGAGCCATGTACTATAATGTACATATTACAATACATCTTTTACAACCATAAATAATTTATCATTTAATGTTTCAGCCAATCCATCACACCTTAACATAGCCAAATCAACCTTTTCCCCTCTTTGTCACTGGTAGCCATAAGTAGGCAAACAACACTCTGCACTTTGCAGCTATTAGTCACAAACTACTGTATCTATCACCTTTTTTCCATATTCAAGCAATTTATCACCCCCCCCCCCCCCCTTACTTTCCATCATCCCCTTTCAAAAACCTTTGTTCAACCTTTTTCCTGCCAATCTGTCACATCAATGTTCTGTACTAGCCATCCTTTTATCATCACCTTTATAAGTAGCCATGCTTTCTTTTTACAGATATTACAATTATAGCCAATAATAAGAGTTCCCTTCACTGGAACTAAGGGGTCAAAGCCCAACCCCTGCAAGACAACCCCACACCATAATACCCCCTCCACCAAATTTTACACTTGGCACAATGAATTCAGGCAAGTACCGTTCTCCTGGCAACCGCCAAATGTAGACACATCCGTTGGATTGCCATACAGAGAAGCATGATTCGTCACTCCAAAGAACACGTCTCCACTTCTCTAGAGCCCAGTGATGACATGCTTTACACCCCAAGAATAGTGCTGCGCTGCCCCCTAGCAACCCAAGAAAATACACTAATAATAAATAAACACCCTCCTGAGCATCAAACCCAATGTGTAATAGAATAAATCTGTGAAACAAGGTCAATAGTAAATAATAAAACAAAAACTGGCTGAGCCACTAAATCCAAATGATATGTGGAACATACAAAATAAACCAAAATCAAGTAGCAATACACACTTGGCCAGCCTATAACAAACACCCATCTGAGCTGAAGAATAAAGTGTAAAAAACAACAAAAACAGTGAAATATGTGAAATGTATATCAGAAATAAAGCATGATCACAATGGCAGTAAACACCTGGCCGAGCTATAATAAATACCCGGCTGAAATAAAGCATAAAGTGTGAAAATCAATAAAAACAGTATAAAATGATGTAAAACAAATGCCCGGCTGAGCAATCAGCACCCCCAGGGGAATAAATATGAGATGAATCAAGTAAATGTTCAACTGGGCTGGATATTCACAAAACGTGCGTGCTTTACACCACTGCATCCGACGCTTTGCATTGTACTTGGTGATGTAAGGCTTGGATGTAGCTGCTCGGCCATGGAAACCCATTCTATGAAGCTCTCTATGCACTGTTGTTGTGCTAATCTGAAGGCCACATGAAGTTTGGAGGACGTTTATTGACTCTGTCGCCAGTTGACGACTTCTGCACACGCATGCGCTGACCCCACTCTGTCATTTTACATGGCCTACCACTTCATGGCTGAGTTGCTGTTGTTCCCAGTTGCTTCCACTTTGTTTTAATACAACTAACAGTTGACCGTGGAATATTTAGTAACAAGGAAATTTCACAGATGGACTTATTGCACAGGTGGTAACCTATCACAGTACCACGCTTGAATTCACTGAGCTCCTGAGAGCGACCCATTCTTTCACAAATGTTTGTAGAAGCAATCTGCATGCCTAGGTGCTTGATTTTATACATCTGTGACCATGGAGGTGATTGGAACACCTGAATCCAATGATTTGGAGGGGTGTCCCAATACTTTTGGCAATATAGTGTATAAATCACTGAGCAAATTGGCAGTGCTAGATAAATACCTGTAATAAATAAATAAATATCCAGAGATATGCTAGCTGACACGGTAAATTGAAGCTGTTCCTCTATAGGAATACTGGCTACAGGTTGACCATGCTGGTCTTGTGGCAAAATATGTGTTGGTTATACAGAGGGAGTTGGCAAAATGATGATGTTTGAAATGCTGTAGTCATCTCTTAGTATGTTTCCAATAAATACACTGTTCTCTTTGTTTACATTTATGTGCTGTGTGGGAATTTTTCCAATTAGTTGAACTAGATGGAAATCAGAAACAGAACAAAGAACCAGGAGCTGATTGGGTGTGCTGTTCTATTTCCTTATTCATGCACACCCTCTTCCAGATGTGTAAGGTGGGAGTGAGCTCGCTGACCTCACATTCACAGCTGCGTAGAGGTCTTTTTTCCTGCTTGTGGAGTCCATATAGCACTCCCTGCCAAATAGGAAAAAAATTTCCTATGGCTTGCCAAAAAATGTTCCATTCTTTCATTGCTGCATATCTGCACCGAAGAGAATCCACTTCAAGCCCCATGGTTTTAGTAAGCTTGGATTTAAATGCATGGTTGTGATACACAAAGAAGCATGTCCATGCACAGCACTGTTTATGCAAAACACACAACAGATTTAAAGTGCTTGATATCTATTGTAGAGATCTTCCAATATGTTACAGAAGACAACCTAATCCCTTTTTTGTGAATGATAAGAAATCATACAAAGAAATACATTAACTAGCTGCTTTTATTAGGTACACTTTGCTAGTGCCAAGAAAATATCCACATAGTTGCACCACCACCTCCAGCCTGAGCCAATGATGCAAAGTAGGATGGATCCATGCTTTCATGTTGCTTACCCCAAATTTTGACCCCAGGGCTGCTGTTAGAAACCACGGGGCCCTGTACAGCCAACCTGACCAACCCCCCCCCCCCCCCCCCCCCCCCCAAAAAAAAGAACACAGTTTACTATGCTTCAGTTATGAATGGACACAGTAAGTGATTGGTACGGATCACTCATTCATTCAGGAAAGGAAGGGGCTAGTAAATGTGACATGTTTACCGGACCCTTCCCCTATTCTCTGTCCTGTAGGATCCTATTGTGTGCTTGCAGCTGTAGATGGTAAGGAGTGGAGGTAAGCCAGCAGCACTGTGGGGGCACAAACGGGGACCTGGGCAGCAGGGGGAAATGTATGGTGCACAGAGAGGGTTATGGGTGCAGCAGGGGGGAAATTACTGGAAACAGAATGGAAACCCTGTATGGCTCTCTGCAGCAGCTGAAAGCCAGATTTCAGCTGCTGCTGAGAAAGCCATACAGGTGATCTGTTCCAGTAATCCCCCCCCCCCATCGTGGCGATCACCCTTCCTTCCCACATTTGATTCATCCAGCTGCCTGGTCCCCCCCTGCTGGCCTGGGCCCTGTACAGGAGGACTGGTGGTACCCCCTTATCCATGGCCCTGTTTGACCCTACCATCTGAATGTCGCAGCAACCAGTCTGCGCATTCTCCTCTGACCTCTGACATCAACAAGGCATTTTCGTCCACACAACTGCCGCTCACTGGATAGTTTCTCTTTTTCAGACCATTCTCTGTAAACCCTAGAGATGGTTGTGTGTGAAAATCCCAGGAGATCAGCAATATTTGAAATACTTAGACCAGCCCATCTGGCCCCAACAAACATGCCACGTTCATTGTCACTTAAATCCCCTTTCTTCCCCATTCTGATGCTCAGTTTAAACTTCATGCATTGAGTTGCTGCCATGTGTTTGGCTGCTTAGCAATTTGTATTATCAAGCAATTGAACAAGTATAACTAATAAAGTGGCCTGTGAGTGTATGTTGGTCAACACAGTGGTTTAGAGGTTAGCCCTTCTGCCCTGCAGCACTGCAGTCCCTGGTTTGAATCCCAGTCAGGACACTATCTGCATGGGGTTTCTGTTCACTCTGTACTTGCATGTGTTTCCTCCAGGTACGCTGGTTACCTCCTACATTCCAAAAATATGCTGATAGACTGATCAGCTCCTGTCTAAATTGGCCTTGGTATGTGTGTGTGCATGTAAAATAGAGATCTTAGATTGTAAGCTCATTGAGGGCAGGTCTGATGTGAATGCACAGTATGTAAAGTGCAGCATACATTGTCAGCACTATATAACTGCCCGTAATAATATGTTTTGGCCAAGATATCATTGGTTAGATAATAGTAGTACTAATCTTTGCTTAATTCAGTGCTACATAATAATACAATATTACAATTATTTATGTTGTATATAGATTTCAGTGTGTGACATCATGTCCTGATTTAAATTCCTATTTTTCTGTATTTATAGGGCTGGCTACAGCAGTATGGCTATCTGCCTCCAGGTGACCTCAGGACTCACACATTACGTTCCCCACAGTCAATGTCTGAAGCCATTTCTGCTATGCAAAGGTTCTATGGATTGACAGTGACTGGAAAGATGGACAGTGAAACAGAGAGGTATGGTATCTTTCTCTAAATGTATTTGTTTGCTCTGAACAGTAATCGGAGCAGCATAACATAGTACATTTTGTTAAAAAAAAAAAAATCTGGGTGTGTAAAGCTGGGTACACACTATAAAAAACATTGGAAGAAAATTCCATACAAAAAATAATTGTTCGACTTTCCTATAGTCTCCTTAATAGAAAATATTATTATTATTATTATACAGGATTTATATAGCGCCAACAGTTTGCTCAGAACCCCTCTCTTCTATGAGTGAATCCCAGAGAAAGGCAGGGGTTAAGGTGACTTGTGGCACTGTCCCTTTTTAGGCTAGATAAATATTACATCGAGCTGACTTCTCCCTTTGTTGGCTCCGGGAGTGGTAAGTAGAGGTACTTATGTTGTCCCTTGAAATCCTGCTGCTCGGCAAAGACTACTGTTCAGGCCTCCTGCTGTACAGGTCCTTCTTTGCAACAACAGGGTGTCTCCAGGATGAGATTGAAAGGTGGTGAAGATCCCTCTGATTACATTGCTCCATTCATCCCTTCCCAGAGCTCCCAGCCCCAGGGTCCCCTTCAGGTCTCACAATTCTCAACTCAGCACTCCATACTCCTACCTGCAATGAACCCGACTGGCCAGGTTCTTCAATATTTATGAACACATCTCCCATGAATATTCAGATCCCTGCCCCAGTAGCTTCTAGAAGTTTCTGGAAATTTCCAGAACCAGGGGAAAGCGACAGGGGGCTGACCTGCAGAGCCCTCCAGCCTGGCTGAGCTTGAACCTTACAGACATGCTTACTTTAGCTACTTGTGAGCCAAACTAAATTTACCTAACTTTGTACAATAGAGGATGCTACAATAGTGTGTACTCAACTTTTGACATCCGATTCAGGCTTTCCAAATGAAAATTTCCAAAGAGGCAGACTCTAAAGTTTTTTTTCATACGTGACATTTTTGGTTTAATGTGTACTGTTTTCATACATGAAAAAATGAAAGACTGCACATGATCAGAAACAATAAACAACAAAATTCTATGCTACAACGTTTTTTATGTCAAACAAAAAAAAGCCTTTGTTGTTTGAGAATTTTCATATGGTTAGTACCATCTTTGGGTTTAACTTGCTGTAAAACATCGAGGAAAACTGGACGATCGTTCGCCCCAATTTTCTGTACCTAGCTTTAACAACCAACATACATATAGTGGGATTCTGAGGCAACAATTTAATTTATCTAATTTATATTGTCAATAATGAAAAATTAGTCATGTACCAGCATTAGAGGAGTGATTCCCAAAAGCAAAACATATACATTAATCAATGTATAAATATGACTGGTACGAAAAGGATTACTGGAACATCATAACTTTTTGCCAGGTCTGTATTGTTATCTTTGTATTATTTTTACTAGTAGTATATTTGCAAATGTGAGATTGTCCAGATCATTGAATTAGCTTTAGAGGTTGATAATAAATTAAAAGTATATAAACATCATACAAATGTAGGTGTGTGTATATTTGTTACAGAGACACCTTTGGTATGCCTCAAACATACATTCAGTCTTGTGCTTCTTACATTAAGGCAGTGTATATCAAGCATCTAAAACCGTTCAATTGTGCATAATAACACATAATTATACAAAGATTTATTTACAATGTCATATTGACTCTTAGCAACTAATACCTAATACTTATTTTTAGGGCAATGAAAAGGCCACGCTGTGGTGTCCCAGATAAATTTGGTACTGAAATAAAAGCCAACGTGAGGAGGAAAAGATATGCCATCCAGGGTCTAAAATGGCAGCACAAGGACATCACTTTCTGGTATATCAAAATATATATTTAAAAGAAGAATCTGTTTTTGTTTACATTTCAGCCTTACCTTTAGTATAACACTTGTGTTCTCCCAGCATACAGAACTACACACCTAAAGTTGGTGAATATGAGACATATCAAGCCATCCGAAGAGCCTTTACTGTTTGGCAAAGTGTAACTCCACTGCACTTCCGTGAGGTTCGATATGTGGATATTAAAGATGGACATGAAAAGCATGCTGACATCATGATCTTCTTTGCTGAGGGGTTCCATGGGGACAGCACCCCTTTTGATGGAGAAGGGGGCTTTCTGGCACATGCATACTTTCCTGGGCCAGGTATTGGAGGAGACACTCACTTTGATTCTGCAGAGCCATGGACTTCCAGAAATGATGATTTAGATGGTAAGGATAAAGTCACACTCAGAATGAGCAATGTATATACAATATGAAGGATAAACAGATTAAAAAGGAATTGGTGATATCAGTAATAAATACGTTAATACTTCTGTTTACTTAGGCAATGATCTGTTTCTTGTGGCCGTTCATGAACTGGGACATGCACTGGGTTTAGAACATTCCAATGATCCATCAGCAATCATGGCCCCATTTTATCAGTGGATGGACACTCAGAACTTTCAGCTTCCAGATGATGACCGTAGAGGAATTCAGCAGATATATGGAAGTGGTAAGAGGATGGAGACAACACAGGGAAATGAAGTACTACAAGCTTTTTCAAAAGCAGATAAATTAGTTGAATAGCACTTTAGGGCTCCATATACTGTATACTGTATATTGTATAAGCAATATGTGAATGTTTACAGGTACACATAAATCTATAGAACATGTACATATTTTAAAGATAGTTTACTCCTGTATTTTGTCTCAATGTTAATGTGGCCATAGACAGCTCAGGGGGCTCAATGACAAAAAAAAAGGGCAGATTCCTCTATCCACGCAAACAAGGTGGATGGAGAAATCTCCCCGCCCCCCTTACCCAAGACTTTGTATTCTGACAGCAAAACCCAGCGCTGTCAGAATACACTGATCAGCAGCTGTAGCCGCTGATCAACAAATGTTTTCCAGCTTGCCCATTTGACAGAAGTCAATCTACTGATTAACTTCTGTAGAACAAAGATGGCCACACACTGATAGAAATTCGGCCAATTCCTCCTGGCCAGCTTAAGATGTCTATGGCCAGCTTAAGAGAAAGTCACTTTTGTATATGTGACTGGGGGATAATGGAGCTGTTGCTTATTTATGCTAACATAAGTATTTGAAACTCGTGCTTACTGACATTCCACTTACCATACAACTTATTCTTAGGTCATGGAGAAGGATCACCAATCCCCACACGTGCTCCTCAGCCTACTCCGCGATACCGTCCCGATGTCCCAGATGACCCAAATGTTCCTCCTTACGGACCAGATGTCTGCCAAGGCAATTTTGACACCATTGCTGTGTTGAGAGGAGAAATGTTTGTGTTTAAGGTTTGTGGTTAGCAATCTTTCTTCTTTTAAAGAGTAGTTTATCATCTATCTCTTGATTTAAACTAAATATCTCTGCAGGAACGCTGGTTCTGGCGCGTGTGCGCAATAACCGTGTAATGGATGGTTACCCACTGCCCATTGGACACTTCTGGCGTGGGCTCCCAAACTCAATAAATTCGGCATATGAACGAAAAGATGGAAAATTTGTCTTCTTCAAGGGTAATTAGTCAACAGTGTGGATTTTTCAGTATTCTATCAATTAATAACTTGTTTGAATTGAAACAAGACTTATATCATGTTGTTATAATCCTTTTCAGATTTTGGTATTCATCATTATATTTTATATCTTTTTGTGTTTGTTCAGGGAATCAATACTGGGTATTTGATGAAGCCATTCTTGAGCCTGGATACCCCAGAACATTAAAAGAAATGGGTCGGGGATTACCAACTGATAGGATTGATGCTGCCCTGTACTGGATGCCAAATGGAAAGACCTATTTCTTCAGAGGAAACAAGTAAGTGACTTAGTGGACTGGAAAGGGAGTGGAAGATAGGACATTTCTGTATCTAATGACTAAGTTAAAATGACAACTCCTGCCAAACAGCTAAATCCACAATAGAAAAAAATGTGTAGAAGCTATTTTACCTGCCAAAAGATTTCTAAAGGAATGAACATATTTTGTGACTAGTTATGACTGCTGCGCTACTCAGCTGGATAACATACTCAAGGTAACTGCATATTTTAGAGCCTTTAGCTGTCTAGGGTTCTTTTGACATTTACTGAATACTACTATGTTGTTGATGCCCAGCCTAAGTTAACTCTCACCTGTACACATAGGAACGTCACACTGTTGTTTATCAGCTTACACAGCAGGCATTCCCACTGTAAGCTTGCATACCAACTATTAGCTGACAATTCCGTATAAAGACAGAGTTTAAGAAATCACACTAGCTAAATTTTTAAATTACAGTATTTGTAGGTTAACTTACTATTGCCTTGGGTTATTATTTAAAAGAGAAGTATGGCCAAAGCTTTTTTGGTCATACATCTCTTGTTAGTCACAGGAGTTCACTTACTTTTGCTCTCCTGTGACCCAGAGCTATAGCCCACTGTCAGCTGACATCACAGAGCTGCTGCAGGCCCTGAAGGATATTGTTGGGATCTATCCAACTGCCTGATTGACAGCTGACTCCGGCACTCAGCAAGTTTCAGGCTCTCAGAACTCAGCCTCGCCTGCCCCCTCTCCTGCCCGGCAGTCCAGTGAATGCCGGAGTTGCAGAGTGAAGAGCGATGACTGACGTCCACAGCCCTAAGCTTCGAGAAGACCATGAACTGAGTGATCAGTGGTCATATGATCACTCAATTATTGCAGACTTCCCCTTTAAGTTAAAAGAGTGCTTTAACCATGCAGGGCAAAGCAATAAATTTGTTTTAATGCCCCTTCTGGCCATCAGCACAATAATTTTTTTTACTTCCCCACCCTTCTGTTCAGCTTCTGTGAATGAAGAAGAAAGACATCTCTTTGTAAGCTCTATGTTGCTGCAATTAGAACTACAACAGGGCTGAGGACTCTGCCTGTTCCCATGTGACAGTGCTGACCAAATTACCAAGCACCAGAACTGACACATAGGGGGGGATTTACTAAAACTTGTGAACTCAGAATCTGGTGCAGCTTTGCATGGTATCCAATCAGTTTCTAACTTTAGCTTGTTTAATTAAGCTTTGACAATAAAACCTGGAAACCAATTGGTTTCTATGCAGAACTGCACCATATTTTACACCATGCAGTTTTAGTAAATAACCCCCATAGAGTTAGTCAAATGGTACCCCATACCCAGACATTTCAGCTAGTTTTTTTCCCCCAGCAGTTGAAAGATGAAATGGATTAGTGAAAGAAGGGTGAATATACAATATGCTGCTTTGGTGGAGGGGTACTAAAACTGCATAAGCAAAGTACAGCTTTGCTTTTAGAAATATGGTGGGGGGTTATTCACATATCTTGTTTTCTGTTTCTTTCAGGTACTATCGGTTTAATGAAGAGATCAGGGCTGTAGATTCTGATTACCCAAAGAATGTCAAAGTATGGGATGGTATCCCTGACTCTGTTCGAGGAGCTTTTATGGGAAGTGATGGAGGTAAGGAAGATATATTGTGCACCACATATTTTTACAAGTTATGAAGAACTGACTGGTTTGTCATGTATTCACACATGTACAAAGCCTTTTAAAAAGGTCATATAAAAATTAGCATAGTTTATTCTGATAGTTTTGAACATGCCACATCCTCCCATATGTAAGTACATACAGCCCTGACCAACTTTTTGACAGTATTGAAGGCACTGAAGCTGCCTATAGACTTTAGAGGGCAGGATCTGCAGAGCACTCCATAAACTCGTAAGCTCAGGTTTATCTGGCTGCAAGGGAGACTGGCTGCAGGACACAACTGACATCAGCATTTGGAGGCAAGTTTTCAAACCCTTCCGATTGCTCATGCCCCTTGGCAGTGGAAAGCATCTGTCCAACACATAATATTGTGTCCCGATCACGTCTGTTAGTACTTTTAAACTTATTTCTATAACTAGTTCCAGGGTCACTGCAACTAGTAGCTGAGACAGGATAAGAAAATGTTGTCTTATGAATATTGTTTACTCCTTGATAGGCCAAATCAGAGGTGCCTGAAGTAAAAACGTAAAGCTGGGTAACGCACCATATGCCTTTTGTTGTTTCCAAAAGATTCTTGTTTATTAAGCCCACCGCACGGGATACTGTAAGATTGGTAAATTTTTGGTCTTCAGTCTTCTGCACCACATGGCACTTACTGAAGGATGAGGGTCAGTGGGGTAGGTTGTGAAGGAAATGACGGAAAAGATGTATCTGTTGTCTGATATTTCTCTTTATTGTTGATAGGCAATACTGTATTATCAACAGCTATTAAGAGGCTTGTATACATTGTGTTTTTAAAGCATTACTGAACTAGTTTTAATAGACTTTTAAAAAGTTAAAATAATTGTATGTTGCTTCTTATATGTAAACTGGCACCTGCAAATTCCCAATACTAGATAAGACTCTCATGGAACAAACCAGAGGTTCTTGCTGTGCCTGCCTTCCTTGTCTCTCAACAGCCCCAAACAATGTGACCATTTATGTTTAGGGAAGTGCTGGTTGCCCATGTTTTTTTTTGGGTTTTTCCTGTACAGTCAACCACCCTCTAGTATCTTTGGCTAGTTTATAACATATCTAAAACAAAAATGTAATATATTTCAACATACAAGTCCTCATATGTGGTGGCTGCATTCCTGTTTAGGCCTATTGTCTATTGCTTTCACCTGGTAATCCTCTAGTTCCTGTCCCTTCATGTCTACAACAATTTCTGCACTGTATGTATAGAGGAGGCCACAGTTGTCACAAAAACTGCACTTCCTTTATGTGCACAGGAAGTGACAAGTTCAGTGCATTTTTGGCAAGATCAACAGGTTTTTTTTCTGTACTCTGTGAAAATTTTATTAACATGACAAGGTGTGTAGCCAACACTTCTAAGGACTGATTAAAGTTGAATTCCAGGCTGAACCCAACTAGTCTATGCTTACTAACCTGTGTAAGAAAGATGCGTACACTTACTGTACCTATTTTAAGCCTGCTTCAGTCCAGTCACATGACCTGGCTCCCTTGTGTCAGTAAACAGCAACTGCAGGGGAGAGGAGGGACCTCCGACAACAGATAGCCAATGGGACTCTATGGGTGACATCACTGCTCCCAGGCATTCCCAGCCATTGTTGCATGTTCTCTCATCTCCCCTGCACCTGCCACTGGCTGACACAGGGAATTAGCTGACTGGACTGAAGCAGGCTCATAATAGATAAATTTATACATCTTTTCTACACAGTTTAGGCAGCATAGGTGTTAGGAGGCTAGAGGGAAGAAGGAGCATTTTTAAAATTAGGTAGGTTTCTACTTTAAATTGTTTAGGGGTTTAGATATGCTTTAAGACTATAGGGCAAGGGTCATAGGGGTTTCATTAACCTTTTTTTTTTACCGTAGCATTTCTAAAATCTTAGGTTCTGTTTCCTTTTATGTTTTGCAGCCTTTACCTATTTCTACAAGGGTAACAAGTACTGGAAGTTTAATAACCAGCAGTTGAAGACAGAATCTGGTTTTCCCAAGTCTGTTCTGCAAGACTGGATGGGTTGCAGGACCACCAAGCAACCTGAAGATAATGATGTTGATGATGACAGAGAAGTAGTAATCATTGAAGTTGATGAAGCCAGCGGAGGAATAAGCATGGCAGCTGTTGTAGTTCCAGTGCTCCTTTTGCTCTGCGTCCTGTTCCTTGGACTGGCTGTCTTTATCTTCAGGCAGTATGGCACTCCCAAAAGGCTTCTATACTGGCAGCGATCCCTGCTGGACAAAGTGTGAGACATCACATACCTGGACCCTCCCCCCCATTGCTGTCTCTCTGGCCCTCCCATGCCTCCCTCACACAGATTTCATGGGGAGCAGTAATAGCCTCCTGGGGAGGGAGGAAGGGAGAGAGGCAGTTTGCACCATCTTTTGCCGCTATTTATGTGGCATACATCATTGCATTTAACCCCTCCATTGCCAGACTGGAGCCATGTCTTCCATAATGGTTATTGCACGGGTACAAGTTGTAGTTTTTCATTAGTTATTGGTCTGGAAGTGCTCTCAGTATAGCCACCACTTGCAGGACTCAGAGCAGAGATGGACACCCTTTTAAAGGGTCTGGAGACATTACCTTAAGTTTTTAACAGATGTGTGTTTATGCTTTGCAAAACACCACAGTCCCTTGCTAAGATGAATAGTTTTTTGCTAACTAAGAGTGAACATTCTGAGCACCCAGCTTGAACCTTAGTCATGGCTGGGGTACACGGAATTGCAAGTGGGGGAAGACCAACTTGTCTGGCCATGTGAGCTTTTGTCCAAAGGTTGTTTCCTCTGTGCCATACTGCCAATAGCACAGCTAGATTTACTAAGAGCCAACAGAAGGACGTTATTAGTCAGTAAGAAGATATTGACTTCTGTATAGAACCTGGGCCACAGCTGTGTAATGGGGTACAATATTCCAGACTTTTGTGACAAAAGCATTTATAACAATTTGGTAAAATATAAGGGCCTGAGGTCCAATTTAAGTTGGAAAAAAAGAAAAAAATATGTTTTCATAGTAACCAAATGTGTGTGACAAGGACAATAATGTCTTGTCCTTTGGAATTTCAAGTACTGTCTGTGATATGATGATCTAGAGGAAGCTGAGATAGGTAAGTGTATTTTTGCAGAGCAGGAATCTGTACCTGGAGAAAAAGAGGGACAAGTTTAAGGTCAGTGCCACCCAACTCCAAGAGTGCCTTGAAAAATGCCCTGTAAACCCATCCATTGTACTTCTACGATGCCTCTAAGGTCTACCGCCCTCTGTATTTTTATGGATATAGAAGGAAAAGGTTTCAATCTCAGGGTCCTCTCCTGGTATCTGACTTGGATGATGTCGATAGATGCTTATATATACTTGGTTTAGTCGCTACTTTCAGGTCCTGGCAGAGGCAGAAGATTGTTGGCTTTCTGTGATGTAAGGGGTTGATCACTGCTCTGAAAGATTCTCGCAGTTCTATTGACAAAGAAAGGACTGGGCTCACAATGTCTCAGTCCAAAAAAATGTTAAAAGACTGCTCTGCAGGTCTCTGGCTGTGGTGGGGTTAATCATGGTTGTTTAGTGCCCCTGTAATTGAAAAAGAAACATCAGTGCTCTGTGAGTCTCATGCGCAGGGAAGGGGTTAATCATAGCTCTGCAGGTTTCTGTCGGGGTGAGGTTAAGAAGGGCAAATCACATGGTACGGTCAGGGGGTGGGGGTCACATTTCCTGTCTTGTTTCCCGTCTTCTTATTTTTTGTTTATATTTGATTATTATAATTATTATTATTTGATAATAAGGCAGCTCCTGCAGGTCAGGCCGCTTTGCATCTCCCACCTATCCACTGCCAGAAGGATCAATCATGTTCCACTGGTCCCTCTAGCAGTGAGTGGGTGACCTCTTCACCCCTCCCCTCCAAGCATGGAGCTTGGGGTCAGGGCTTGCACAAAATTATGGGGGCAAAGAGAAGCATGTGCCCTTTCTAACCTAACCCCCAAGTGCCTTATATCACCTAGTAACCTCAAACCTAAAATGTGCATCATTCCCTCATTTTAATATGTGCGTGGAGGGGTGTGGGAGATCAACCAAATGGAATTAATTAAAGCTTCTCTCATGTGGACAAAGTTGTGTTTTTTATTTTATTATTATTCCTGAAGTCTTTTTTAAAAATCTACCAGAAACTATTTGTTATTGACCTATGTTTTTTAATATTAGAAATATAAAAAATATAAAAACAGAGCTTCATCTGTATTCTTTCATCACACATACATTATGCAGTACATTTTAACCAGTTGTGGAACCTATGCTTGAACATTTAGTTGAGTGACCATCATTCCTTCCTTTATTTTTTTTATTTTCCTGAATTTGGTGCTTTTTGTGTTTCCTTCACTCCTTTATGAATTTTGGTAATCTTCTACTCTAATCGTAATGCCACACATTTCCCTCATTTTGTTTCACAGAGCATATACACAGATGGCCTTTTACTGGCATATAAAATACTGTGTTTTTTGTGTTTTTGTTACTGTTACTGCAAGTGATCATAAAGTGATTCACATTTTAGAAATGTAGAAAGGAACTATGGGCTTAAAATACGCTAATGGATCAGATTTGTTTACTCCCCCAAGCCATCTAGTGCACATTTTTTTCTGGGCAGGTTTATTCAGAAAAAAAAAAAAAAATTATTTGTGCATTGTACCATAATAGGACATTTGTATTGTATTCTGCTGTGTTTCAAAGCTATGCAAAAATGTACTTTTGTATAGGCACAGGGGTTGACCTTGAAAACTGTGCTGAAGGTAGAAGAGAGAAAACGAATAGATGAATATGCTGTCTAAAAATGATGTCAGTCTCCTCTGAGACCTTAAGACTTTGGCTTAGTGTTGCGAAGAAAGCAATCTTTCCAGGAATTTTTTTCCCCGAACTATATGGAAAATCCATTTAAGTTATAGCACTGACTTTCTGTAGTTTTGGTATGCAATATCACACTGAGCTGAAAGACACTGCAATAGTTTATTGTGGAGCTGCTTTTCTAATTTTCGGTATGCAGTGGCCTTTGTGAAGAACCCATTTCATGGCAGTTGCAGACTAGTTCCCAAATTACAATTCACACCCCCCATATTAAACTAGCAATTACAAGCTCAGTGTGGAGGCTGCAACAATAAACAAGCTATAAACCCACATAATATGCAGCGGTTCTACTAAGGATTGACAGAATATTGTTTTGGGTAAAACAAGTTAGGAATAACTTCATGAGGAGGATGCAGCATGCTGATCGCCCATCTCAGATGGTTCCTGCACATTCATAATTCATGGAAACTGTATTACTAATCTGCAAGTGTCAATAGGCCCTTAGAAGGACTTATGAGGGATGTGGGGTTAAGTATGCATATTATGACTTCATTTCCAAACACTGTAAAAGCAAGTACACAGGCTCTTTATCATGGGTTAAAAATGTAAAATGCCACTGTGTTAATGCTCAATAGGAAAGTGTTTAATGACTGCAGAGGAGGACAGCGTGGAAGCACACATATATAGAAGTACAGATGACAGATCCCACACTTATTATAAAACCCCTGCAGGGTTTAAAACTATTCAGTGCCATAATGTATGAGAATATTCGTATACCCGAAAAGTGTTCAGTCCATCCATTTTGTGACTGCAGTCTGCATTTGCCTGTTGTACCTTATTTACGTATAATGTTTATGCACGTTTCCAGAAACTAAAGCAGCCCATAGATGAGTCAGTATTTTTTTTATTCAACCAATGAGTTGAAGGAAAAGAACTGACTCAATTCCCCCATCCATACACTCTATGTGGATGGAGGAATCCTTCCTGTTGAGCTATTGTATTCTGACAATGGGAAGACTTCCCTGCCATCAGAATACACTGAACAGCATTGCAGGCTTTGGCCTGCAGTGTTGATCGAGCAGGAAAAATCTGACAGGATGGTTGTACAGAAGTTGACCTTAGTGCCCATACATGGATCAAAATTCAGCCAGTTCAGCAGGGTTCAGAGTTTTGATCCATGTATGGCTGGCTTAAGCTAGTTGGAGCAGCCAGGCCATTGGCCCAGCACTCTACAAACATATTAGGAATCTACAAATCTAGGTGCTTGTCTCTATTTATCTATCTGTATTTCTATACGCAAGGGTTGAAGCTTCCCTAGGATAGAAAGACAACTGGATAAATACAGCTAATAGAGCCACAAGGCTTGTTGGTTGGTAAGCCTAACACCAGCTCTGGGTAAATATCTGAATGGATTATATATTTTTTTTAGTTCATGAATGACAATAACTGTAAATTGCTACAATTATGAAGAAATGGGGGTATAACATTAGATACATAACAGAAGGATGTATATATATTAAAATAAAGAAATAAAATATGGCTAAACATTCAACAGTCCATCTCTGATACATTAAGATCAGCTACTATAGCCTGATAGAAAAAAAAAACTAATTATGATAACTACAATAACATCTACAGGGTGGTTCTGATGCTGTGGTGGTACACATCATCATTGGCCTTTGAAAAGGGACTGTAAGTATAGCTTTGTCACCATGTAATATATCTTATTTTCCAATACGATAAATTTGATCTCCTGCATTTCTGAATGACAATAAAAATTTCAAACATTCTAGTAGTGATGGGCTGAACACCCCCCTGTTTTGTTTGCGGTCAAACATTTGAACCTACGGAAAGTCTGACTGCAAGCTTCAAACAGGGACAATTTACTGAGCAGTATCTTACTGCATCTGAGTATGCGGTAAGATACTGCTCAGTTACTAAAATAGCGCATTACTGAGTTATTTTATTAAGTCATGTGTTATTTTACCATTGAAACATTCATGAATGTTTTAGCTGTCAGTAGGGTTCCTCGCTGACAGCTGAATGTCAAAAGGATTGTTGGTATTGCCCAACAATCAAAAAAAAATTTTTTTTAAATGGCGTGGGGTCCCCCATCCCATCCATACCAACCCTTCAGGTCTGTGATGTTCTGTCATGATAGTTCTTAACCACTTGACAACCAGGCTATAGCCGAATGACAGCTACAGCGCGGTTGTCCAGTTCTAGGAGGGTGTCATATGACGTCCTCCCCGAACGCGCCCTCCTGCGCGTACCCGATCTCCATGATCACTGTGTCCTACGGACACAGCTGATCATGTGATGTGGTAAAAGGCCAATCACTGTGGCCTTTTACCACGTGATCAGCTGTGTCCAATAACACAGCAGATCACCAGGTAAATGCAGTTGCCAGTTGTCAGCTGCACTTTCC